GAGAGAGAGAGAGAGAGAGAGAGAGAGAGAGAGAGAGAGAGAGAGAGAGAGAGAGAGAGAAGCAGGTGTTTCTGTGTGACTGCAAGTTGTTAAGTAACACCTGCTCAGTGAGGTCATGAGATACTGCTTTTTTCCATAGCAGCAGCAGACGTGTCCATCTCCGTGCATCTGCAGATTGCTTCTTCCCATACCAACCGTATCCATGTCTGTGTCCGTGTCCGCATTTGGTCTATCGATTGCACGTTGACAACACAGGGAGATCAGGAAAACGAGAAAAAGACCAAAAAGGGTTTGTCTTTCCCCTATCCCCTTCTATTCCCATCTCTCCTCCACGAAAATGCCCCTTGCCATTCCCTCAATCCCCATCCTTCCAGTGAGCCGTCTCACCCTCTTGCAACCCCCCACTCCCTCCTGCTATGACCCTTCCTCCCCACGACCTGAAATGTGTATTTTTTACCGCTCATGTTCGCATGTGCAGGCGGATATGTCCGGTTTGGGTCTCCGTTGAATTTCCACGAACTGTGCGGGACAGTCAGCATTACTGCTATATTTCCTTTCTCTAGCGTACCACTAGTGATTTTTGTCTTTGAATTTATTTTTTTTAAACACCAGCTCATCAGTGCCAGTAGTGATTGTATATAGTTTTTTGGATTTTTTTTGCATTCTGTAAGTGACACCCGATCGGTTAACACTTATAAGCTCGTAGGACAACATGTTAGTCGGATGTGTATGTGCAAATTTGTCGATGCAGCATCAAAGTAAGAATCTTAGTATCCAATGCTATCCATGCAACAAATAAAAACATAGCTTCATTCAAGGGATGAAAAAAAGTTGCAAAAGAATTGAATCAGCTATTGAATGTCCAAACTTCATATAGAGAAAGATAGGATGAACCTTATTATTATTTGGCTACCTTCTTCCCTCGAATACAGCGTACTGTCATTATAGCTGTATTTCAACTGAAAGGTACCCCGAATACATCTATAGTCACAGTTGTCAGAGTACGTTATATTCGGGGAAGAAGGTAGCCTCTCTTGGGGAAAGGGCGCAGCCCCTATTAATGTACATGCTCATTCTTTTCCCCCTGTCACACCCAGAGCCCCCCCCCCGCTAACTCCCAACCCCACCCTCACCTCTTCCTCTGTCTAACAAGGAAGAATGCAGTTTTTGCTCCCTTCATCTGATCATGGTGTAGTAACAGTGTGTAGTTTGTTTGTCTTTCTGCTGCAGCACCACCACCCAACCCCTTCCCTTCCCTTGCTTAACAAGGAAGAATATGCAGTTTGCGACCTTTAATGCCATCATGCTATTCTTGTTTGTTCGTCTTTTCGGCTGCAGGACTTAAGAGGGAAAATGGTGATCCTTGATTTCTGGACATACTGCTGCATCAATTGCATGCACATTCTCCCAGATCTTGCTTTCTTAGAAAAGAAATACGCCAACAAACCGGTACGTCTGCTGTCACCGCAAGTCGGTTTCTTTTGTTCCTTCACTTAACCAGAGACATTTATACAGAAATCGGCAAAATAAATATTAAATTGTTTGCTTTTAAGTTTTAACGGTTTCCTTAACGAGTGGTTCGGACATGCACAGAACAGACACTGTATCATCCCCCTTTGCTTTGACTCAGACTTTGGATGCATGTTTTCTGTGCTGGGTTTGAACCCGGGTCATTGCAGTTTCCTTAACGAGTGGTTCCAACGCGCACAGAACAGAGGCTGTATCATCTGTTTTTCTCTTTCACCTTTTTTTTTTTTTTTTTTTTTTTTTTAATAACAGGACCTGATGGTCCTGGCTCCTTCTATTCTGGGGAGCGTCAGTCCGGTTCCTATTCCACCGGCAAGTCAAAATAACCTTTACATTACAAAAGAGACTCACACTTCCTTCCGTTTGGCCGAAGGACCCCTGATCAGCATGATTACTCCACCATTGGTGGAGGATTGACTGTCAGCTTGCCATGTCTCACTCTTTCCTCTCAGACCTGAAGACCAGTTCTGCCAAACAGTGCTATGTCACCTAGAAAGAGCTCGCCCATTATGTCTGCCTACCTGTGTATTCGCCACTCATCTGCCCTGCCCGTGAGTCGATGTGTCCCCTCCCCCGAAAAAGCCTGCACCCTAGAAAGAGCTCGTCCATTTTACCGTATAGCTGTGCCTTCCCTACCCCTCTGCCCTGCTCGTGGGTCGAGATCCTCCTATCGCCATAAGCTTGCACTTTTCTTTTGAAAGCTACTAAAACCCTAGACCCTAAACCCTCAGCCTGTAGACCTTACTACTCTTTCACCTATTTTACGCCACTCTCTGGGTGAAAATGTAGTAGATTGCGTGAAAAGCTAGCCCGTGTGGCCGAATGGTTCGTGATGGCTATACGCACCTAGCTGTCAATAAACAGGTCATGAGTTTGAATCCTGATGAAACCTGATCGACACAATAATCTTAGGGGTGGGCTACCCCGCCTTTTTTCCTAAAAAAAAAAACAGGCTTTGAAAACTTATTTCTTTAACTTCTCCAATCACTACACATCACTTTTAAACTTTAAAGC